CCCATGAGGAATTCTGAAGTATCAGCAAAGCCTTGCAAAGTCCTGGGAGAAGGCAGTCTTGGGGGCCTACTGGGGTGGGAGTGGGATGCCAGTAAAGGACACCCAGGCCTTGGTGTTGACGTGGTTGAAATGTTCCAGAGGGTCCCTCCTTTCTTTTCTTCAAGGTGGTTACAGAACTCATGAATGAGAGAGCCTTGTTCGTTGACTAGGCCATCCAGGACTTTCTTTATGGCCTTTCGCAAGCACCAGCTCTGTGCGGGAGCAGGGGAGGCGCACTGCGCAAGCGCTCCGGGACTGACGCAGGCGGGGGCGGGTGAGGGTCTTTCACTGCGCAGGCGCCAGGAGCTCCTCCTCCACAGACCCTTACGTAGACGATGGGCGCTGCGCAGTGACTTGCGCCATTTTTAGATTCTACATTTTCAAAATTATCTTTCACTTTCTGCTCCAAAAAGTGGCCACCTCCCTTTCTCTCTAGGGCACTGAGACGAGAGGCGGACATTGCAGGACCTGGCTCTGTGGGCGTCTTCCTTATCCCCCCCAACTCTCACAGAGCATTTGCTTAGTGGGTCCCTACTGTGGGCCAGGCATGAGGACGATGACACAGTCCACGTCACTGGACCTGCCCCGGACCCTCAGAGAAAGCTTTTGCGGAGGTCATGGGGTGGACTGCGCATGCGCAGGCCAGGCGGCTGGTCTGGGGTTCGCTCACGTGGGGGTCCGGGGCCGGACGAGGGGCGGAGAACGGGCCTGGGCAGGTCCCCGCTTCTCAGCCGGGGCCGGGAGGGGCATCTGGGGCTGCTCAGGGTCCGGAGCTTTGCAGGGGTGTTAGTTTCTTTCCATGGTGGAGGACTCCATCCCCCGTGTTCCGGGACACTCTCGAGTGGGTGCCCCGAGTTGGTCTTCCCAAACTTGGCCGCTGAATTCCAGAGAGGGACAGGCATGGGCTGCAGATGTCCTCATGCCATCAATTAATTTCCACAGGGGTGTGGCCCTGAGAGTTGTCAGCAGAGAGTGAGTGTTGCTGGAGGGGGAGTGTGAGCGCCTCCAAGTTCAAGCCTAGGCGTTTTGCCTCTTGGCAAAGAGGACATCGGACCTGAGGAGGATCTGAGGGCGACTGGCAGGGGTCGTTAGGAGCTCACACAGGCGGGCTGCCAGCATCTGCGGACGGCATGGACAGGAGGGTTGATTCTGTCCTTTTTTACTCTATGGATTTCTCCACCGCCTCAGTCACCTTGATAAGAATTTTATGAACTGATTTTCTGCTTCAGAATTCTTTGTGGACCTATCTCCAAGATCTTGAAAGGCCGTACCCTACACAGCTTATCTGTTTCTGTCAATTGTGAATTTTAGTAGCCTGGAA